ACATCCCACTGTGTTTACCAATTTAAGTGTGCGTGTGTGTGCGACTACACATACATAGGGAGGAACAATTTTGATCTCAAAATTTGGGTATGTGAACATGTACAGGGTTGCAGAAACAAATAGAATCAAGTGACCTATTAAGAGTAGAGGATAAACATCCGTCATCCTCTATTGATAAACATATAATCGAAACAAGCCATAAGATTGGTTTTAACTCGACTTTTGTGGTATTATACAAAGGTGTAAAAGAGCGTATACTATGCTTTATTGAAGCCTTAGCCATACGAAAGTTCAATCCCCTTTTGTGTATTATTATTATATATTATTTTTATTATTATTATCCCTCTTTCCCCGTTTCCAGTGTAGTTGACCTTTTATTTTTATATATAAATGTTCTTGTCAAGTATATGTGTGATCAGATTGTTCGAAATGTATTGCGGTAATATATCACATATTTCTGATAATTTTCGTCTTATTACATTATCGAAATTTTATAGTTTATACCACGGAGTTAAATTGTTTTGACATTTATTGAAAACCAAGAAGCAATGGATAACTACTTTTTCCCTAGTATTGTAGTGAAGGAGAACACGGGTGGGGACAAACGGATGTATTTAGCACGAAAATTACAGACTATCTCAACTAAATATGAATACCATAAAGTCAATCGTCAATTTGCAAAATATCAATGCATCATATCAAACTGTACTGCTCCCGTTGCAATCACTAATCCATTGTCTCGCATTTCATTGCTCATGCGATTTCTTACAAATTCCATTGTTTTCTCGCTCTTCTTTTCTTGATCTTCTCCATCTTCTGCTGCCAGCCATTACGTTCTTTTGACTCACGTTATATACTACTTATATCAATATAAGTAGCACGCACCGCAGTATTATACTCTTCATCAGTATGTATTCACATCACTGAGGATCGAACAAAGGATCTTTCAGGATTCGTGGCGATCATTTAACTTTTAGACTACTAATTTAACATCTGACGCTTTATATTTCTAATTTCTATCAGTTTTACTCACAACTTTTAGCATGTAATAATAATTAACGGATTATGGAAGAATGTTAAGTGTGAATATTTTAATGATGGTTTTCAACACAAATTAACATCAATTAAGGAAATAGTAAGAATCAGGGAGTATTGAAAATAATGACGCTTAGACTTTTTCTTTATTTTCTAGTAGTAATCAAGTCTAAAATATGTTTTTTCTTTAATGTCTATATATATGCATACAATTATTTTATTTTACATGTTCCGAATCGATATTATGTGTATCTAAACAAGTATGTCAACCTACTAACTCCTTCTAGATGACACAAAACGATGTAATGAGAGAAATAAAAAAATGGCAATAGATTGAGGACTATACACAAGATCGGACACTGAATTCAAAGGTCTCAGTATGATCACTACAAGCTTTAATTGTCGAAATCATAGTCAAGTAGCTGAAATTTTCAAACTCTTTCTGTTAGTAATATGCCTCGATCTTTAGTCAATATCATAGATAGCTTACTATCTTTCTGTAGACTTGTCTGACTTAGTTGTTCACGAATAATTTCGTTATTTTTGAGACAGAAATCATCTCTCACACTCCACAAAACACTTTAAAATGAAGTAGTGTATTGATATGTAAATGTGGCATTTCGTAGCTTTTACTTCCCATTCTCTGAGAAATTTATTTTATTCTAAATGTAACGGTTTTTTCTGGAATGGTTTTATAATGTTTTTCAAGTTCATAGTGGTACTTTCTCTGCTATTTTTTTAAACGTTCACTAGTACGCGGTTCGGATTTGCATAATTTCTTTCCTAACTCTCTATTCTTCGACTTTTGTCTATTAGTATTGTTATCTTTGATGCTTTATTAAGCATGTATTTAATTTTTGCAATTTGATAGTATGTTCCTTTTTGATGAATTAAAACAAAGGAAATCAATATTGTTTGGGTTTTTATTTAACGATCATCGATAGTTTGACAGCATGAATTTCTTTAAGTGTTATTAGTAGTTGAATATGAAAATTTAGAGTTAACTATACAGACGAGAGACATGATGAGTATGTGGTTAATAAGTGTACAGATTTTTTCAGTCTCTCGTGTAGTGTTAGCGGTTTAGTATATAGTAATATTTATCAGTAAGGTTGTTCGATAGTTTTAAGAAAAGTCATGATTCCTACGAGGTGTCAACCTTTGCCCATTAATTAAGCACGGTATATCTATGCGTTCTAAATTTTGAATGAAGCATTCTGGAACTAAATTATATTCATGAACGGGTTGTTTATGTAAGAATGTTAGCGCCTAACTCTGTAGTGATCGATTCGTCTTACTCAAGTTTTCCTGTTTGGTTTTTGATCCAAGTAATTTGATATCAACACTAACAACCAATCGTTCAAATGGTCTACGAAGTTCAGCATACATCCATTCGTGCACACGATAAAGTAGTTTTACTTCATCTCGTTAAGGTGCTTTGTTGTACAGTTTGGTCGTTAAGATTCACCACTGAAGTCATTAACTAGTGACTGGTTCTTGAGTTTTTTACAAACTTTCTACAACCCTGTAAAACATATTCATATGATTAGGTTATTTATAAGTAATCTATCGATATTATTCACTTCTAGGGGTGAATGAGGTAAGATATCTTACCAGTCCATTAATTTATTTACTGTTGTTGTGAGTCGTGCTTCGTATAAGTCCATAATGCCTGAATAAAGCTCATGCAATAATTTCGATCAGTTGTTGGTGACTTTAGGTGATTTAACTTAAAATTAGTTGAATTCAGTTAAAATTAGTTCATCCTATTATATCCGCATCGATTCTGACTTTCGATTTTATTCATTATTTTCCAACCACTCTATGTACTCAGTTTTTTTAGCTATCATCGATTTTACTGTTATTTCGTTTTCTTCTGTACATAGAATATCAATTTAATCTCACCGTCTTGGGGTGATGTCATGATTTGGGTCGGTGTACATTTTCATTCAGGTTGTACGCTGGTTAATCCCTGACAGACTGATATTTAGTCTACTTTTTCAGTTTCTGTGTTGTACAAATTCTATTACTACATTACTTCCTTCAAAATCCTTCCACTGCATTTTCATCTCATATCTAGATAAAATTTGGAAGCTTCTCGTAATAGAGTATGCAGATTGTACGATTCACTACAAGCGAATCCAATGTAATTAATAGGTGTCAATATAAGGTTACAAATACAAATATTTTGTGATCAGTTAGTCATAAGTAACTTAAAATCTGATTGGATCAAGTTCCCACATTTTATTAGTACACTGAGATGAATTTATCAAAAAAATGCCAGTTTAGTAGAAGTAATATTAGTATTTGTAGTACTAGAAAAGGTTATTCACAGATGATATGATTAAAAAAGACAGTGAATTAGCAGAATAGCAAGTATAAGTATTTTAAAACATAGTAATTTCATCTACTCTATTGCGAGCGATTCTAAGCCGTGTTACTTAATGTCTCCAAGCATTTGTTACGACAATTACTCGAACCCAAACAATGTAACCTTCACCTACTTACAAAGCTTACTCCATCAGTTAGTGACCTCATGATCTAATACCCATTTTGGCTTCGTCACTTATACAAGAATTGATCAGTTACTTGCATATAAACTATTGAATTATATGTTCTCTACTTTTTTAACCAAATAACTTCTAGTTTCAAGTTATCCTAAAATAGCGTTGCACAATTAAAGAAAATAAATACAAATCCAATATTTTGAATTCGTGTTCACAAACATAAGTAACTGTTTAGTAATGAGCAATAACCCTTTACTTCGGCTCCCAGTACCAATCTAATTCTACTAGTATAGAGGAGTAAACCATATAATTCAGTGTCCTAATATTACACAATGCTGATTTATTCATAGAAAGAACAAATCAATAAACTTTGAATCTACGTGTCTAATTTTTCATTGTGACTGACATTTATTACGTTTTTAAAGCTATTCATTAGAAGTTAGATTTCCGTTATTTTTTATATACAAATAACCAGTGGAAAATTATTTTTACTTTCTTTACACTAAATTGATCTACTCCAACAACAACAATTAAAACTGGTCTGCTTTTTCTTTTGTGTAAAATTAGATTGTATAGACAGATAGATACTATGAGTACGCTTAAGAAATCTGGAAAAAAAAGATATTCTTTTCATAAACTACAAGTAGTAATTAAAATTAAATTACAGGTATATTGAATTTTTTCAAGCGATTTTCACCAATCATATTACAATTGATTGATCACTGGGTGTTGATCAATGTCTTGCTTGTCTTGTATTTATTAGTGCAGATCGAATGCTTTCGATCATGTTGCAAGTGGACCACCAGTCTAGGTGACTCGACATTGATCGATAGTTTTGGATCTGCACTAATAAGGACTAGACAAGCAAGACATTGATCACCACCCAGTGATCAATCAATTGTGATTACATCTCAGTCCTACAGGAGATTAGTCACGGCTCGGATAGCTCAGTGGTAACGTCTCTGACTGTGAAGCTGGGTGACACGAGATCGAATCCGCCAGGGAGCACCAGTTCCCTCAAGATTACAGGTACACCTTGCTGACGAGTGCCAAGTAGCACGAAACCCGGGTCCAGGGTTTCCTGTTGACTACCTCCAACCACCATCTAAACATCAATCATATTTCGTTTAATATTAAATATAAAGTAAAAATGAATTATAAATTCTATATTAGTTTTGTGAAAAAGAATAATAAATAAATTCTTTCATACATAGATTATGAATTGATGGATGTAATGTTATTCATCTAATGTAATTATTCTTTTTTAAATATTGTTGCTGGGTACAGGTTTTGTAGATCTATTCTCTTGAAGATTATTCATTGCATTAATGGGAAACTATTTCTTTTTCATTTAAATATGTTATACTAATATCAGGCTTAGTGTTTAAATAATAATACGTCAAATATTGATAACTAGTATAAAAAGAAAATTCTTTATTTTTTACACTAATCCACTATCAGAGTTTACATAGAATGGTATTGATTTCATAAAGAATTTAGATTAAGTATACTTTTCTTTAGACTAAACGTGATTAATCAATATAAAGTTAGTTAAGTTCTCAATGTTGGGGACGTTAGATCCCCAGAACTCACTTAGGAAAGGACCTAATTTTGTAATTTATCTAGAAATTTTGAATTTCTTTGTTTTCGCGCCAAAGGCGCTCTGGTCACATTCATGTCGTATTTCTCGCTGGCAAATATCTTAAATGCTATTGGTCAGTTGCGTCTTTAATTATGCTATTTGGTAACTCTCCCCAAGGACGGTTTTGCTCTGTATATATACGTTTTGAATTGTGTTTGTTGTTATCGCTCGTTTCTGGCTGTTCTGCAGAATATACTTCCCATTCCAAGCTTGGACTTCTCCCTCTAGTTAGTGAGGCTGAAACGCATCAATAGCTAGCTTACTGGTCTTTGGTCACCGAGTCTTGTTCTTGTTCGCCGATTAAGTGAACTCGTGAGAGCTTCAAACCCAGCACTCAATAACTGCGTTGGTATATTTGATTTATTATTGTAAGAGGTCGGTGGATCATGGTTGGAGTAACACAATGATAACGTATGTAGTATTTATCATCTGGTAAATAATATCGTTATCAGAAAGCTTTTTAATGACTGTCAGTTTGTGTGATGTATACATAATTTCATGAAACAATCGTAAACGAGATCCTTATCAAACCATCTTGAACTGGTGGCATCCTGTGATCGTTTATGTTACAGGATTTTCCTTACTTCATTTATGATTTTCCAGTACAGAAGTCCTGGATTAGGACAAAATGACTATCTAGTAATTCATTATTTTTGTTTTTACTTTAGATGACATTTTCAAAACAGGAAAAAATACATCAAAATATTTCATAACTAAATGACATTACTTTAATTGAATAACTGTTACAATTGTAGTCGGTTTCGATTTAAAATTCTGTTTTTTTTTAATATTGTAAAAAATCTTGGTTTGCTATTCAGTCAGTCAGTCAGTAGCAACGTAGAACTTCGTACGTACTTACATCAGTTCGAGTTGCCACACCACATTAGCACAAAGATGCAGTTATCGATTCAAATCCCGTAGTGGTATAGTATAAGCAGTAATCAGATAGATTAGGGTTTGGAGATGTCATTTAAAGAGTATAATTCAGTAAAATAAATTTGGAAAGAGGAAAAAAAGAGACAATGAGGATTCAGAAGATTAGGATTTGAGAGAACACAAGGAGTGGATGCACCTGTGCCATTGCAAACGATTTTGAGCCATGTCATTCAGGGTCACTAATAGTTTGCTATTATTTCTTATGAAATGATAAATTTAGAGATATAAGCCAGCTTAGTGGTCTAAAATTTGTGTATTCACTGTGATATATATGAAGATTTGGGGTTCGACTCTCTGTGCGGTTGTGGATTTGAACTCCTGAGGAGTTCTGTATTAGAAAGAAGCATATGTACGGCGATTTATAGCTCAAATGGTTGTCTAATTATTGTCGATTCGTAATTCAGGGTATGAATTTCAGCAGTCTTCACAAACCCTCTGTGCTAACCATCAAAATATCAAATATTGTAATATTTTTTCCGTTATATTTTCAATAAAACATTCTCTCCTATCATATCACTTGAAAGTAAATCAATATCGTATTATACATTTATCATGTTTAATTAATGCAACTTCTATATTAATTAAAAAATTATTTTCGAAATTAATGTATTTATTTCTTAAATTTACGGTCTTGACAGTCTTCAAGCTTGTGTTAATGTACAAATTCCCAAATGGTTCAGTGGTCTCAATGGGCAAGCTTTGTTTCTAGATACTGAAGGAAACTTCATACCTGAACGTGTTCGGCAAATAGCTTCTGCATTGGCAGATCATTGTAAACATCATTATATTGAATCAAGTGAGATGGCATTTTATTACTCATTTCATTTTTAGTTAGTATTCATCATATATTGATATCATTTGAGGTACCATTGAAAATCAAGGAGCACTGAATAGTTGTTTGTACGGGATCGAACCCCTTTCCGCCTCACAATGAACCCTGAGCTACTATGTTAGCGTCTAATGGTACAATTTGATCAAGGAGATTTATACTTGATTAAGGCAGTTGTACGTGCTCCTTAGTTTTCAACAGTATCCTGGATGAGATCAGTCTATGATGAAAATTGACTGCACAGTAAACCAATTTACACGAAACCTTTTCATATCCGCACTTTTATTTTTCGTGATCGATTATGCTTTTCGATGGTTTGTTTTACTTGACCCTTCAGCATTTATAGATCACAGTTAAGTTGTATTTCGAAAGATGTAATACTTAGTTGAATATTATTCAGAAATTAATCTATGGGAATAACAAAAACAAAATTGACTATTATAACTAATAATAAACAGTCGGTAATGTTATGACTTTATGTCCGGCTTTTTATCACGTGACTTATCCACCAATCAAAATAAGACATATACAATCTTAGCACCATGCCAAACCAATGACGTTCGACCGGTAAGGGCAGTCTAGCGTCCTTATTGGTCTTATGTCCGCCTAGCCTGTCCACTTGAGTCCAGAACACCAATACCAGCTTTCACTATGCGAATCATATATTTCAAACATACTGTGTTTATATATCAAACAAACAGACCGCAACGCACCATAAAATAGGAAATAACATTTGTACACAATAAAGCCAAAAAGTGACTGTGAACGTGGGATGCAGTAGTCGATAAACTGAGCATAACTTAGGGCCAGTAAATCGTATAATAATAAATTATAGGTCAAAATGAAGCTTATTATGAGAGGAATATAAATATACATAATCTAATTATAGTTATACCATAAGGATATATAGATAATATTAGTCAATAAATATGTCTCAGAAGTTACTCGTGGTTTAATCTTCGCTCGGATATAACAGGTAAACTCTTATGTTATTTTACATAACTTTCGCTAAGCTAAGTGCTATTTTATGCATGCTAAAATTATCTTTCCATTCATCTGTTTTTCACTGACTCAATTCTCTTATGTAAACCCCTCAAATACTTCATAACTGTTAGTATTATTACGTTTATTTGTTAATAGATCCGGAAAGAACAGATGAATCTTTCATTAAACAATATTGTCCAACTGTTGAAAGTCTAATGTCTGGAATTCACTACATACGAATAACTGATCATTTGAAGTTATTAGCTGTTTGTCGACATTTAGAACAATTTTGTGACCAACATCCTTTGGTAAATTATTATTATTATGTATATGGTCTTAAATGTGTTGAATTTATTCTATTATCTATGGATGGAAGTGATTTATCTCACAAGTTAAGGCAGTCTATACTACTTTTGTATTAGAATATGCCGATGGATTCTCATGTGTCAAACGTTAAACTTAGTGCGAAACAACAACCGACTATAGTCGGTATTTTAATATTTTTTGAATAGTATATGCAGCAAATCGTGCTGATATAAAAATAACCTAAACTACTAAACAATTTGTTTAGTGTGTCTATTTGAAAGTTTGGTTCGTATTACTACTTCTACGTGAAGTGAATAATTCTTTCCAGTTACATACCAAGTATTATTCTAATATTTCTTTAGTTCAGTGAGATTTAAGACATTGAAGTTATTCGTATTTAAATTAGGGGAAATTACCAGTTGAAATATCAAGAGAGAAAAATCTATTCGGTGAAGAGGTCCTTTACTTTCCAAGGAAATTCATCAACTCTGATATAACTGATGTTTATTGATCTTAATTCAGATTCGATTGATTGTGGTTGACAGTATCGCTCTCCCGTTTCGTTACGATTTTGACGATATTCCTCAGCGTAATAGATTATTGGCAAGTGTAACACAAATGTTGCTCTGCGTTGCTGGGCGTCAACAAGCTGCGGTAAGTCATCTCAATATTTATGGTATATCCTTGACGAATTTGTTATTCTAGTCTCATCCCAGTAAATAAATATACACTATGGTATATTGGATTATTTTATATGATTTTTTATCTTAAATATTTTGATTATCGTTTTAATTATCAATCTAGTTAGGAAGAGTAAATACTCAACTTCCAGTGAGTGAGTTACACATTCAGATACTGCTCCACTTATTCTTAAAAATCATTCCCACAATAAGATATTATTCATGCCTTAGTCACCTTGTTCTGTTAAATTGATGTTTAATTAAAATATAATACGTCCATGGTCACCATTCTTTAGTGTTTCTTCACTATTATACATTTATTTGTTTAAACTACGGAAAGGTACTTTTCTTTACCACTTGTTACGTTAGAGAGAACGGCAATTACATGAAATGTTGATATGCGTGATTTGTGTGTCATAATTGTGCTACTCATGAGTAACTACGTTTTTATCAAACAATTTTCATCCTTTCATTTCTTTGTTTATTCGTAAACTAACTTCCCGTCCGGTTATATTGAGCTAGCTAGCTTTGTGCCTATCTATGCTGAGAGTTGAAAGTTGTTGCTGAGTTAGTCACCTTCAGTGAAAGTTTTAACGTAAGCTAATTACTGTAAAACCACTTATTGTTTATGTGTTCATACACGAACATCTTGAAAAATCAAGAGTTTTCTGACTGTGATCGATCTCAAGTAGAACTGATAGTGTTAATTAATTAACACTTACCACTCATAGCATCCGCCTGATGAACGGATTTGAAAAGAAAAAAAAGAACTGACTAGCGAAGGAAGTAGTTTCCCAGTGAAATGGAAAAATGACATACAAAATATAGAGTACGAATAGCATTTATACGTAATTGTCACTTTAAACGTAAACAATTGTAATGTACGGGTTTACTTTATGTCGTCTAACAACGAGTAGAACTTAAATATCCGATTACCAGGCTAAATTTTTACTCGTCATATCGAGTCGTTATTTGGTTGATTGGCCCCGTTTCGTAACTAAAACAAATCTTCGGAGATGTTTTTGCTTTTAAATTCCTCCCAATAAGTTATACATCTTTTTTTTACATACAAAAGATTGACAATTAATATTTGGACTTCTCAGCTGTTTAACGCATTACTCGTTTGATTTATCGTATATTATAGTGCGTTTAATCTATATTGATGTGGATGGATTCATATGTAACAATCATGTTTCACTGTTGGCTTTAAGTGAACATCCATATCAGATGTTTGGAAATACAACGCTTTACTAGCGTATTTTTGTTTCTCAAATAAAAATGACTTACAAAAATAGGATTTCTACTTAGTTTATTTAATTCACTCTGATTACATTTAGTTTATGATTTTCAGGTTATTCTTACAAATCAAATTACAACTAAATTCGATGCGAAAGATTTGAATTCAAAACAATTTGATTGTATCATAGAAGAGAAAGTTGTAAAAGAACAATGCAGAAACGATCAAAATTCATATCTAGTACCTGCACTTGGAGATAGTTGGGGGCATATTTGTTCTCTCCGTGTTTTCTTGACACGTTTAACTACAGGTATTCGTCAGGTAACACTGCTGAAACATCCTGGAAGACCATATGGTGTTGGGTATTATCAAATTACAGTAGGTTAACATAATATTTTCTTGGATTATTAGTGCTTGTAGTAGTGTTGAGACATAATTTTGTAGATGTAGCGGAACTTTATATTTATTAACAAACAAACACCTGTATAAAGTTATGCTACACTTATTCTTATAATCTATCAATACTTTTTTATACCAAACACTGTTGTGATGGCTTCCTCAGTGATGATTGGTATTTATTGATCAAGGAAAAAATGTGATAAAGTAACCGAATAGAAACTTTTTATTCACTAATATCAAATATATAGCGTCATTATATGGTATTATTGTTTCTTCCAACAGTCGAATCTCACTTCATCTTGCTGTTCACATTAAGAATTATTACTCCTCTTTTTGATGTAACTCATTCATAAAGTATACGTTTGAGTATTTTGCTTTGAGTTACTTTTTTGTGAGAGCTAGTAATAGTGCGTGTGGCGGGATTCAAGTTTAAAAAGTAGTTGAAAGACGAATGCCATGATCACACTAAAGCTACTGTTTCGCTATAGTTTTAAGAAGTGACAGATTAAAACTAAATCGCGCACTGTACATGAAAAAATCACATAATGCGAATATTAAAAAAGCGACTAAACTAAAAATTGAAATGTGAAAAACTCAATTTATTTTGCGTATCTGTTCTCAGTATAGCAAAATTATATGCATTGGATAATTTCTAAATGCTTAAAGGTTTATGCACAGTTACTAACTAATTTCTACATAGAGGGTAACGTGATGTAACGACATGAGCATATATATCTTTGCGAATTGAATTTCATATTGATGCTTTTCTATCAAACAACGATTACATAATAAGTAGAATTGTTCTTTATCTCTTGTTATTAATTAAAATAACAAATAGTTATTATTCAACAATAAAAACATAACATTTCTGAATAATCTACGTACTGTGATTATTTTTCTATGAATACACTTTAATACAACATCCTCATTGTATTTTTTCCTTATGTTTTCAGACTGGTGGTATTCGTGATCTTGTTCAAAACAATAAATGTAATAAACACTTGCCAGAGTAATCAGTTTTGTTTTAAAGAATACAAATAGCTAAAAAAAGACAATATTTCATTTTTGCTTCCCGAATCACACTCTGTTGACAACAAAGACACTTATTTTCTATTTCTACTCTCGAGGGTCTATGCGTCTAATTTAATGGTAGTGAAGAGAAAAAACCAAAACACAATTTCATATTATATATGTATTTTTAGTCTGCTGAGTGATGCTTGTACTATATCTCTATATGCAATCTTTCTCTTATATATTACCACCTTTCACCTAACCACAGTTATGAATCCGGTGTTCATCTTGTTGTGTTGATGCGGTATGGCAACCTGGACCGATGCACATATGTGCCTGGTCCTACGTTGTAGCTGACTGACTGACTGATGAAGGCGACTAAAGAGGTAAAATAATTCCGCTTACACATAAATATAAGATTAAAAGACAAAACCTGAGCATGAAGTACGTATCATCATCATAATTAAAAAGAATAAATTAACAAATATGGTAGCTAAACTTGTTTACATCACTAGTTACGTGTTATATAACTATCGTTGACTTATAACTTCTACCATTTCATTCAGTATACATGTAATAACTCATTGGATTGCTTGAAAATACTTTTATTAAATATATTATAATAAATATTTTTGTAACAAAAAAGGCAATTAGGGAATATTTGAAAAGTAGGGAGGCAAGAATTTAATCGACATTTTTACTGATTTTTGTATGTAGCATGTCACAGATCGTTAATTTTGACACTCAAATTAAGTAAGAATTCAAGAGTAGACATCGATAAAAGCGGAAAGTCTTAATATAAATACAATAATGACATACATAAGCAAATATATAAATGTCTATATCATTGATAACCAATTGATTATTGTTTCCATTAGTTCTATAAGTATAGTGAACTTTAAAATGAACATGAAGGTTATTTCACACCAGAATAATACTATTATAATGAATGTTGATTGGAAAATAAGTAGAACAATTAGTTGTATACAATCGAATTGTGTTAGATATATAAGAACAAGAAAGCGAAATTCATCACATCAGCAAATACACACACAAAAACAAGAAATTATTTTTTATAAAAACAAAATCACTTACATAATAATCTCTATCAGCCTGAGTTGAATTCGGCCTGGAATATCCAACTATACGTCAACTTGTCAAGAGATTCATCGGTTAATAATTATAAATGAATTATTAATATTTAAATAAATACAATCGAAATCGAATAAAGATAAAACCACAAAAAAGCAACACGACTAGATTATCACATTTATTGAAAATAATAACTATATTGGTGTATTTCTTACAATGTAAATGTTTAATTCTCATAGTAGATATTTTCCTTATTATGAATATATTCATTTTCTATTGGAATGAATTGTAAGAGAACAACATTTAATGGAAATAGATCAAAATTCTAAACAATAAATGTGAGAAACCGATCAACGGATAGAAGACTAACGGAAAATAATAATTAAAGTTCAAATTCTTTCTGTGATAATCTCAATCTAGCTGTTTTTAGATCTGATAAGCTTTCGTTATATGTAGTTGCTTGTAATAATGGCTCAGATATATCTTTCGATGAAAGTGGTTGACGTCCACCTGTTACAACTGTTGTCAGTGGTTGCGTTGTAAGGTGTTGATTAGTGATTGTTTTCTGTTGAGAATTTTGTTTATTAATAGATGATTGAGAATTAGTAAATGAAGCAGATTTTGATTGATTATCAAGTGTGTTTTTAGATTTACGTTGTAATGTATTAATTATAACTGGATCATTTAAAGAACACATCGGTCCTTCATAAGTCATTGTTTCAAGTCGGGGTTCTGAAATGAATGTAGTTGGCTTTATGGATGTAATGTTCGATTGTAAATGTTGTTGGTGATGTTCAAAAGCGGTGGAGAGATGTTGACTATCGAATTTAGTAAACTTCAGGTGACTAGTTGGGATTGTTTCTTTACTATCTTCCTTGATGATGCAATTTTTATCTAAATAAAAGTATTAGAATACTAGTGTCAGAAATTAATTAATTTAGTTACACGCAGGAGAATATTATCATATGTTCCGTCCGGTAACACAAAAGATGGAAAAAGATCAAGCATAAGTTTTGAGTTAGTAATCCATTTTAGGCCCCCGAATCCCTAATACGGTCGAGAGTGAGGAAGATCCGCTCTCATTAAGTTGCGCACATAAAGTCATTAGCAGGGAAATCTTACTCATTGCCTTTTCGTGGTGGGGGTGCTGTTTACTAAATTGAGAGGATGAAAAGCGGATGTCCGGAGTTTTAACCGGCTTGGTGGATACGGACGCCTACCTAGCGGCGTCGGAAAACCCTGATTCCAAACTAATGGTGCAGATGGGCTCTAGGATCTTAAGGGAACAAATGGTGTATAAACCTACTCCTGGTCACCGGATACCATGAGGATGCATCCCGAACGTTGCTACACTACCTTATGGATTAGGCCTCTAGGTCAGGATCAGGGAATGCCCCTTAAAAAAACTAAATGCTTCAATTTGGGGACCCGGATAGTATCCAAGCCTGTACACATTCAAAGATTTGTATGAGGCATGGATATTGTGGTTCCACTTTATGCTAGTTTTTGTGTTTAAAATATATAAAAAGTGATTCATTTGAAATTAATTTACATTATGAAGTGAAGTTTAATGATATACTATGGGAAGTTTTTCGTCACCTAGAATAAAAGTTATTCAGATGTAAACTGATATCTCAGACTCGAGACATTCGTCAGTTTAAACAAGAATCTATGTAGCGTTAAAGAATAAGTACTCAAGACCAATCGAGTTTGTTGTGACAGATAAATAAATAGCCAGTAAAACTGTATTATAAATCAGTGGGAAACAAAAATATAAGTAAGGACCTTGAGCCTTAATGTTTGGAGGGAAAAATTTCCTGAGAAGTAAAATAAGTTTATCAAGTAAGGGTAAACTAATGGATTGTCTAATAGGAAATTCTAAAGAAACCATTTGAGGTCTGATAATGATAAACAACAAGTAGAATCTATTGATTACTATTAGATATATTTACAGCTTGTTTCATTCTACTGTCTTAATCTTTGCATATAATATTTTAATGTATCGCATTGTGACACAAAATATAAGTACCAACTTATTAATTAGACGAGATGTTGTTGCTATTGCACATGTTCATCATTTTTTTTCCTCTTTTGGTTGCTATTATACAAAAGAACGTTTTATGTCACTCATTCTTGAAAGGAGTGCTTTTTTGTATCTTGAAGCTTAAAATCTAATTGTAACTTTATTTCCTCGAAAGAAGAATGTTTCTCATCATTAGCATAGTTTAAAAATGTAATTTTTAATTATTTGGAAGTGCTGTTTACTATGGTAACTTGTTTTTATTTGAAATCAAAGTGAAATTTTTGGAAGTGTCAAGTAAACCTTATCTGTCTCATAATTAATATAATATGTTTCCCCATAAGTTTAGATCTAGACCTTTTCCGTCTTATTGCAACTACTAATGCGTTTATTGAGTGCGATTACTTCAGTCTAAGAGTTGCACCCTGCGAGGTATATATAATCGGAGATTGACCATGGAATAGTATGTGATAAATATTACTCTTCTTGATATATTAATTTAAACAATATGGGATTCTCGCAGTATTTATCTTATTATATACTTCACAACTGTACCATTTCTAGAAATTATAGTTGGAATTTCTCTTTTCGAACCTGTACGGTGATATTTGTTTGCTGCTTTTGTGCTATTTTCTGTTGAGGAACTAATGAAGGTGTTTTGTGAGCAAATTGTTTTGAGTCCACTGAAATTGGAAGTTGTTTTCTTAGAGGGCACTGGTTCAAAGCTGACTGTTTTTGGTTTAACTGGTCTGTAAGAACCGTTTGATAGTTTACCATTGGATGTGACATTGCAGTAACCATTGGTTTGACTGTTGATGAATCCCTTATTCTCTGTGACTTTTGAATCGGAGGCTGCGAATGCAAGTAAGGGGTACGGCCTTTCGAGTCTATCACTTTGTTTTGAATTTTTGGCTTTGTCATGTCTAAGCAGAGAAAAAAAACGGAATGATAGTAATTATTATTCCGATAAGTTTTCAAAAAGAACATCCAATACAACGTGTTTCCCCATGCAATCACAGTTGGATACTAATGCTTTATAAATTATTAAATTAAACCAATACCTTGAAACTACAGTATAATGACAAAATTAATGTTCAAATCGAATCACATGAGGAAGTCGGGTAATAAACCGTGATATTTTAAAATTGCAGATTACAAATTAAATCAGATTTTCAATAATAAACCAGTCTTAATGTTGTAGGATGTTTTAAATAAGGAATAGAAAACAATATTTGTAATTAGGGAACATTTAAAAAAAAACGATTTACTCATTTCTTGGTTGAAAGTAATGTGTTGTTTAATTATAAAATAAGTTTTATATCTGGTAATAATATATTTAGCACTGGTTTATAGTTAAAATGGCGAAATGAAATCAAAATTTTAAAGTTTCTCATATTTTTAAATGTAAAAAGGAAAAAATAGATTTCTTTAAAAACTGGAACCCTAAGAAAATTGATTCAGTCAATATTGATTTTTATTTTCTTATCTTTATTGTATGCTACTGAAAAATAAGAAAGAATGGCTTAATGACCAAAGTATAACTTGTAAGTGCTCAAACTCTACTAAATCCACGTTAGAGGCAGTCACAATGAAGCAAGTTCACGCATTCTTTATCTTTCTCCAGATTTTGAGTTTTAACCTTTTTGAACACAATTTTCAGTCTTTTCTATTATTAATAGTACATAATTTCTATGTCTTTTCCTATTCATCTTGCCATGTTAATAAGGCATGTCCACTTGGGCTGACATACATTTGTGCCAGGTCCTAAGTTGATTATGATTTACTGAATAGATCCATCAGAAAATTGTGTAAATACAAAATTTTTGTCTAGCAGAAAAATATTATGAAAAAGTGATATTTCGAAGTGAATTTCTAAAAAGGTATGAGAAG